TGTATGGTGTGTGTATGGTGTGTGTATGGTGTATGTATGGTGTGTGTATGGTGTATGTGTATGGTGTGTATGGTTTGTGTATGGTGTGTGTAGTTTGTGTCTGGTCCATGTGCGGTGTCCGTTCAGTGTCAGTGCAGTGTGGTGTCCGTTCAGTGTCAGTGCAGTTTCGGTTCGGTGTTAGTGCAGCGTCTGTGCGGTGTATTTGCGGTGTCGGTGCGGTGTCAGTTCTATGTCAGTTCGGTGTCTGTTCGGTGCCGGTGCGTTCCCGGGGCGGTGTCGGTGCGGCCCCGGGTCGGTGTCGGTGCAGTGTCAGTTCTTTGTTGGTTCAGTTTCGGCTCGGTGTCGGTGAGGCCCGGGGCGGTGTAGTTGCGTTGTCGTTTCGATGTCTGTGCGATGTCAGTTCGGTGTCGGTTCATTGTCGGCTCAGTTTCAGTTCGGTGCCGGAGCGGTGTCGGTTCGCTGTCGGTGCGGTGCGCGGCCCGGGGCGGTGGCCGGGCCCCCTCTGGTGGCTCACACGCGCACACACGGGATGCTCCCGCATCCGCATTCCCCGTTACAGGAATCTCACGCACCCCGTCCCTCCAGCCGCCAATCCCCCCCAGCTTCTGCCTCGTTCCCTCCTCCCGCTCTCCTTTTCTCCCCTGTATCTCTATTTTGTTTTACGAGTGGTTCTGTGGCAGGCAGCACCCCGCCTGCCGCAGGTCCTGCGGGAGCTGCACCACCTCCCGGAGATGTCGTGGCGGAGGCTTTTCCCACTGAATCTGTTTCCAGCCCCCGCACTGAATCTGTGTCCCCTTTGTCCCCGGCCTGTGCCACCGGAGGCTCAAGACAGGAGCCGCAGGGCTGGGCTAGGGGCTCCTGCCGGGTACAAGGTGTGCCACCATCTGTGCCCCGTGAGCAGGGGTCATTTCGACACTGCCGTCTCCAATGGGACCATCACCGCCCCGCCATGTCCAGCCCCACACCCCATGGGGAAGCTCTTCCAGATCTTTCCAGCTTCTCATTTCTGGATGTAATCGCTGTAGGTTGGATTTCACTGTCCTTCTGCTCAGGCACCGCTGCCAGCTCCGTACCGCACTGGACCGAGATATTTATAGCCGGCAATGCAATCCCTTCGTCTCGGGTTGTGCCGGGCTGGGTGAGCCGAGCTCCGTGACCGCGCACGGGAGGCACGCATCACTCGTGATGGGGACACCTGCAGTGTGTGTGAATGGAAGGGACAGTGACAGGGACTGTGGTTCCCGGCAACCTCAGAGGTGGAAGGACCCATGCCTGTGGTGCCACGCCCGTGGTGCTACGCCCGCGGTGCTGCTCTGCTCTGGTAGCCTGCCCCAAAATCCCGGGAGGGGACAGCGATATCTTGCCCGCCGCTCAGCTCAGCATCTCTCACGCATCGAAACCACACAGACCTTGAAGGGCCAATGATACCGGCAAGACCTGCCGGGCCACCGTGCAGCCTGTGCTTCCACACAAAGCATCCCGCCGCACAAAGCTCTGAGCCGTGGGGAAGGGGCTGGCACCAACCCCAAAGCCCCCCTCCAGTCTCTATCGACCCCCACCTCCGCCCGATGGGAGCAGGCAGCAGGCTGAGAATGCCAGGAATGCACCGCAGGCATTCCGCTCCCGCCGAACCCCCCTTGCCCCACCGAAGCGCCCTGCAAACAAACGCACGGCACCTCTGTGTCCCCCTTGTCTGGGCGGCCCTCCATGGCAGCCCACGGCATCATCCCCTTAGGTCCTTGCCAAATCCCCGGGAGAACCGGCAGCCCCACTCTGCCCACATTATCCCAGCCCCATGGCGCCATGGGAGCTTGTGCAAGGCTCATTGCCCCATAAGCCAGACCTTGCTCCCTGAGGCTCCCCTGTGTTCTACTTGTAGGCATCCACCCTCCTACCCCACCACCCTACAGCCCTGTGTCCCATAGCAGAGGGGCTGAAGCCCCAAAAGATGCAGTGGTGACATGCCCGTTGTATCCAGCCCCCTGCCATCCCCTGCCCTCGACTCTCCCTGCCCTGTAAGGTCTTGTGTCGGCCAGGGCCCTGTGGCACGAGTCCCAGCGCACCCTCCACTACTGGGGAGACACACTGGGTCTCAGAGAAGTCTGGCTCTCACAGTTCTCAGGGTCCAACTCCCCAGGTGCCTCCCTGCATCCCAAATCCTGAGGATATCTCAAATCTCTTCCCCTTCTCCCAGGGGAGAAACCCACGGCCAAAGCACGGGAAGCCCCCACAAGAGAGGCAGCCAGATCCCGGGCTCCTCAGAGCCTGATTCCTCCTTTATCCGACAACTTAAGACCTCCCAAAAATTCCTTGTGACGACACACACCAAGGATATTCTCTCTCCTCCAGCTGGCCGTGTATCCCTTCACTTCCTTCATCCCTCTTCAGGGTACCCCTTTACCCCTTCATGCACACTCTCCACACTCCACTGACTTCCTCAGACCCTGGGGAGCCCCACGGTGAGACATCCCCTCCCCAGTCCCTAGGCATTGGGGTACCCTAGAACCTGGATACTCTCTCACTGCAGCTCCCCTAACCCAGATACCTCTTTCTCAATCCCCCACCCACTGGGGACACTCAAAACCCTAATGCTCCCTCCCCGATTCCCCTCACGGACCCTAGATCCCTCGTACCCCCTCTTCTATCCCTGCCCACAGGGAGCCACCGGCTCTGGGGGCTTCCCTCCCTTAATCCCTCGATGAGGCCCCCGAGCCCGCCCCCAATCCCTCCACCCAGAAGCCGAGCACCTCAGTCCCCTGCCCCAAACCGATGCCCTCTTCTCCGATTGCCCCTCACTGCACCTCACATCAGAACCAAAGTACACATCCCTCGGTACGCCACCCACACTGGGGACACCCCGAACGCGGATGGCCCTTGCTACGTCCCCTTCCGGACCCCCTAAAACACAGACATCCCCTCCTCAGTCCCTGCCTACTAGGGGCCGCCGGACCTGGGGACCGCACTCTCTAACCCCCGCCCTGGGGATCCCACAGCACTCCGCCAACCTGGAAGCCAGAGACGCCCAACACACCCCGCCACCCCCCACCACCCCAACCAGCGCCCCCCTCCCCGCTAGCCCCACCCCTGGCCCCCCCTCTCCGGGGACACCGCCCCCCGCCCCGCCGCGGTGCCGCCCATCCCCGTGCCCGGCCGGCCGGGCGGGGACCGGCGGCGCCGCCCCCCCGGGGGAGGGCGGTCGGTGGCGGTCGGCGGGCGGGGGCGCGGCGGGGGCGCCGGAGCGGCGGGCGGCGGCCGGGGCGGAGGAGCCAGCGCGGCCCATGGCTCCGCCGCTGCCGCTGCCGCTGCTGGCGCTGCTGCTGCTGCCGGTACCGACGGGCGCTGGGCGGCGGGCGGCGACCCCCGACGGGGCGCCCGCCAACTTGACGGTGGCGGTGGTGCTGCCGGAGCGCAACGTGAGCTACGCGTGGGCTTGGCCGCGCGTGGGTCCGGCGCTCAGCCTGGCGCTGGAAGCGCTGGAGCGGGGCGAGCCGCCTCTGCTGCCGCGGCCCTTCTCGGTGCGCGTCGAGTTCATGAGCTCGGAGCTGGAGGGCGCCTGCTCCGAGTACGTGGCACCGCTCAACGCCGTGGACCTGAAGCTCTACCACGACCCCGACGTGCTGTTCGGGCCGGGCTGCGTGTACCCCGCCGCGTCCGTGGGGCGCTTCGCCTCTCACTGGCGGCTGCCCCTCATCACCGGCGGGGCGGTGGCAGCGGGTTTCAGCCGCAAACGGGAGCACTACAGCACGACGGTGCGCACCGGGCCCTCGGCACCCAAACTGGGCGCCTTCGTCTCCCACCTCCACGCGCACTTCAACTGGAGCGCCCGCGCCGTGCTCCTCTACGTGGACCGCAAGACCGACGACCGACCCTACTACTTCACCGTCGAGGGTATCTACCAGGAGCTGCAGGATGGCAACAACCTCACCGTCACCGTCCACATCTACTCCCCCGAGGAGGGCGGCCCCGACACCGCCGTCCACTTCATCAAAGCCAACGGGCGCGGTGCGTGGGGTGGCGTGGCGTGGGGTGCGGGGGGGACACGATGACCACGGGCGGGATCGGACTGAGCGCCCGGGGAGTGGCGGTGTGGGAGTGGGAGGAGGAAAGGAGAGCGGAGGGGGCTCCCCTCGGGAGATCTGCGTAGGGCTCCGAGGAGGGAGGCAAAATCCTCCGTGGGGCACAGCGAGGGGCTGAGGGTGTGATGGGATCCGTGGGGGTACCGTGAGGGACATTGCACCGTCTGGGGCACAGGAGAGGGGAGGATGGTGTGCAGCAAAGGGACTGGGTACTGTGGACAACACCTAGGGTACAACAACGGGTTAAGGGAGCAGCAGGACCCATCTGGGGCATAGAGAGGGGATGGGGATACAATGGGACCGCTGCAGGACATAGCAGAGGACTGGGATCTTGGTGGGATGCATGTGTGGCACAAAAAGGGACCAGAGGTGGCAGTGGGACCTGTTTGGGGCACACCAAGGGTTTAGGGGGCAATGAAGATCCCCCACGAACCCAGCAAGTGTCAGAGAGGGCAATGAGATACCTGTGGGATGCAGCAAGGAGATGGGAACACAGTGTGATCATGTGGGGTGCAGCAACAGTCCGAGGAGACAGTGGCACCTTTGTGGGGCACCGTGTGGGTCTGAGGACACAGTGGGACTTGTGAGGGGTTGATAACAAAATGGCGCCCATGTGAGGCAAGGCAAGGGACCAAGGGTCTGGTGGGACTTGTGTGGGGTTCATCAGGAAGTGGGCAGAGTGACACCTGTGTGGTGGGGCACGGCAAGGGGCTAAAGGAAGAATGGGACCCCTGTGGAGCACAGGAAGGGGCTGGAGGTACAGTGGGACCCATGTGGGCCACAGCAAGGGGTGGGCAAAATGGGCTCTGTGTGGGGTGCAGTGAGGATTGAGCTCATTTTGTCACAGTGGGGCTGGAGAAGCAGAAGGACCTGCACAGGAGGTGAGTTCACATGGGCCAAGACAGGACCTGAGCCCCTCCCTGGGCCAATCTCTGTGCTAGTAGAGGGGTCAGGATGCAGCAGGAGGAGGGGGCACAGTGTCTCTCTCCCAGGCCTCCAGCCAGGTCAACCTTTGCCAACAAGAGCTGAGGCAGACCCCAGCTGTGGTGGGACACATGCTCTGATGGGCATCCTGTGGGACCACCCAACCCTCTGTGTTAGCAGGGTCGGGGTGACCCAGGCATGTCCTTGGAGTCTGAAAGTGATGGAGTGGATGTGACTCTCCCAAGGACAGCATCAGCTGTGGTTACATACCTAGAGAGCCGTGGTGCCAACAAACCTGGGTGGCTGTGCTGTGCTCAGGCAGAGCCCCCCAGACTGGCACCTGGGCACCCCAGGCTGTGCCTGTCCCTGCTGCACTCCCAGGATGGGGCTGTGAGAGCCCCACACTGCTGATGGAGGGATAAATCAATTTGGTGCCTTGCGAGTGCCCCAGGAGAGCAGCTATATTGGGAGCGGGAGGAAATGGAGGGGCTTACAGAGGCAGCTGGAGAGCAAGGGCAGCCTGATGCTCTTTCATTATTGATGAGCAGGGTGTATCAATCCTGGAGTCAGCCACTCCGCAATGCTTCTTAATGGATTCTGAGATGCTGTGTCATTAGGAAGGACATCTAGCCAGGATAAGTGGAGCCAGATGGGCCAGCAGGACTTTTGTCCAAGGCTGGGCAGGACCAGGCTGCAGGGGCGAGGTGCTTTGGGGTGCTGGACTGGGCTCCTGTGAGGCCAGTAAGGCTGAGTCCATGGAATGAGCATCCCATGGCTGCCCCACTAGATTAGGAGCTCTTGCATGTACCATCACCAGCCATGGGGTTTGGAGCTGCTTATGGGATGAGGGCAAAGGAGAAAGGCTCAGGGAGAAAAACTCAAATAAGTGATTCCCGTCAATGTTTCTGTTTTGGTGCCATAAATCACCCCAACAGGAATCAATCCTTCCTGGTGCAGGCAGGGGGTTGTGGCTGCTGCAGGAGAAAGCCAGGCATGGGCAGACACCTGAGGGCTTTCTAAACTGGGGTTATAGTATCACAGAACCATGGAAAGGCTTGTGTTGAAAAGGACCTTAAAGATCATTTAATTCCATTCCCCCTGCCATGGACAGGGATATCAAGAGGGTCTGAGCCTCTCTGACCACAGCAGATGGCACCAGGGTGTGGGGCTGAGGGGAGCTGAGTGCTTGGCCCCACAGAGGTAGGTGCTCAGGGCTGCAGAGCTGGTAATAGGTCCTTTCCTAGCCCAGGTGTGTGGGGCAGGGAGTGGGGACTTGCAAGGCTGTCCCAGGGGTTGGGGCCCCTTCACGGGTTGGCATGGAGATGGAAGCAAGGCCTTCAGCTGCATCCATGCCCATGACCTGCAATAACTGCATGTATCATCCCTCTTGGCGTCACCTTCCTTCTCCCAAGTCGTGGGCAAGAGTTTGGTAAATATTTCCTAGAGAAAGCTGTTTCCTTGCCCCTCCATGCATCCCTAACACAGCTGGTTCTTGACATTCAGAGGTCTAATGAACGGGCACGAGGTGGGGTGGGATTGCCCCTCTCACTGGTGCCTGGGCGACGTGCAGGGGCCCACGTCTCTCCTGCCATTTGCAAAAGCACTGATATAATTAGAGCTGTGGTTGAGGGAATTACCAGAGCATCTGCCTGCAAAAAGCCCAGGTGCCCTGCCTGGGGAGATGGCTGGGTAGTGTTGCTGGAGGGGAGTGCATTTGGTCCTCACCCTCTCCCTGGGCCAGGGCGATGGTCTCTGTGCTGCAGTGCCTTGTGCTGGTGGGACTGCTTGAAACCGGGATTTTCTGCCTGAGCCTGGGATTTGCCCTCATTTCAGGGTTATCTTCCGTCATGCAGGGGTCAAGCAGTATTCTGCCACCTCATCTGCTTGCTCGTGGTCCTGCCCCTTCTCTGGAACCTGGCAGTCTGCCACCTACGCCAGAGACACCCCCTAAATAAATGTCAGGGGTCTGGATGCACTCCAGCCTTGCAGAACTTCACCCCCCTTGTCCTGGGTGATGCTAAGGCTGCCCTTGGCCATTTGCTGACCCCTGGGTGTAGGTGAGCCCCCTAAGGCACTGCTGGCTGTGCAGGAAGCTTCCAGCTGGAGGCCGCTGCCTGCCTCAAGGAGAGCCCCAAGCATTGACCCTTCCTTCTGCACGGCTCATGCAACCTGTCCCCAGGGAGCCGTCTAGGCGCCGTTCATCCCCTTGTTTGGTGGCCTTTGACCAGGCAGGCTTTCGCTGCCGCCGCAGGGGCTGGCTGCCTGCAGTGTCCCACCATCTGCCACCAGCTGTTGTGGATCCCCAGCCCCTGTGGCTCCCTTTTCTTGGCGCCTGCAGTGGGATGGGGAGGGTCCCGTCTATGTCTTTGGGGGGAACCCTCAGGCTCTGCATGTTGAGGAGGTGCTGAGCTGTCCATCCTGGATGAGAAATTTGGGGACATTTCTTGATGCAGGACTAACAAAGTGGGGAAGCCAAGAGTGTTTATTTGAAGTATTGCAGCATTCAGAGGGAACCATTTCAAACCCTGAAACAGGCTTTTGCTCACACACAGCCCACGGTGCTGTGATTTCCCTCTCCCCCGTGCCTGGGAGCAGCTCCCCACATTGCTGTGGATTCCCTGTTCCCAAGATGGTTGTGCTGGGTCTCTTCTCCCACCTGTGGGCTCCCTCACTGCCCTTGTGAGTGACCCTGCCAGCCCTGCTCCCCACAAGGCTGGGTGCCTTCGGGGCTGGGTGCCTTCTAGCAGCAGAGACCCTTTCCCAGAGCGAGGCACTTCCTTGCTGTCCCCAGCCCTTCCACTCCCCGGGTCCAGCCGGGGCGCTGGGCCCCATGCAGCAGAGCTGTGTGTCGGGGCCAGCGCCTAAGCGTGACATTCCTCCAGCACCCGCTGCCGCCGCCTCCTCCGTTGCTCAATCCCGGGTTCCCAGCCAGACTGGCTGGAGCGGGGGCCCTGGTTTTCCGGGGGGAGGGAGGAGGCAGTGTCAGGATCTTCAGCAAGGGCACGGAGGGCCCCTGCTCGGGGGGGTTCGGACACTTTCAGGCGCCCATCCCCACAGTCTGTGATGCCCTGTGCCAGCCGCCTGCCGGCCCCACACAGCACTTGGGTGGGCATCCCATGGGGGCTGACAGAGCCCGGAGCAGAGGGTGGGGACAAGCAGGACGGCCCGACGGGGCCCGGGCACCCCCTTGCAGTGTGGGTCACAGCGGCGAGATGCTCTGTTTCCAATTAGCGGCCGCCGAAGGTGCTGGAATCTGGGAACCTGCGCATTCCTGCCGCACGGACAGCCGGCCACGAACCCAAACATGGGTTTGTCCCATTCCACAGCCCGGGTTCCCCAGGGGCCTCCGGCGCACGGCTCCAGTGCCTCTCCCAGCCCCCCTGATTCCGTGGCTAGGGCTGGCATGGAGCAGCCAGGAAGCTGATGCAGTGGGGAGACATACTCAGGCTGGTTTTTGCTGGATTAGGGTGTGTGGGGTCTGTGCCTGGGGCATCCACCTCATGATTTCGAGCAAGTTTTCCCTGTCTTCCTCTCCGTCTTCAGTCCGAGGTGACTGATGGGGCAAGAGTGGGTTTGTGCCAGCAAGGGCTGTGGGTCGGGCTGTGGGTCGGGCTGTGGGTCAGGCTGTGGGTCTGGCCGTGGGTTGCAGGGAGGTGGCGACCCAAGCACTGCCCCATCTCCCTGCTCCTTTTACTCCCTCCCTGCAGTCACTGAGTGCTCCCGGGGCTGCTCTGCCCCATCTGCCCCATTCCTGGCAGTGTGCGTGGGGTGCAGTGGGGTGTCCCTGCCCCACTGAAGCTCTTGCCTCTCTGTGGCAGTGGTGTACCTCTGCGGACCGCTAGAGATGCTGCGGCAGATCATGCAGCTGGCACAACAGGAGAATCTCACCAATGGCGACTACGTCTTCTTCTACCTGGATGTTTTTGGGGAGAGCCTGCGGGGTGACTCTGCCCGTGATCCCTTCAAGCCCTGGCAGGAGAGCCCAGGCCAGGACTCAGGGCTGCGTGAGGCTTTCCAGGTGAGCTGCGCCCACCTGCCTGGCTACAGAAACCTCCCCAGTCTGGCCCCAGTGTGTGAACGAGGGTGCTGTGCTTGGTTGCAGATGGTGCTGGTGATCACCTACTATGAACCCCAAAACCCTGAGTACCAGCATTTCCAAACCCAGCTCATCCGGCGAGCTAAGCAGAAATTTGGGGTGCAGCTCAACTACTCCCTGGTGAGTGAGTCCCCCTGCATGCTGGGGTAGTGGGGTCCCTTCACATGGGTCTGAGGCACGTCACCAGGATGCACACGGTGGGACACAGCCACAGACAGTGCCAGAGGGGTCATCCCTGGTGGGAACAACCACAGGCACTGCCATCCCTGCAGGGTGTACGTTGGCCCCAGAGAGGTTATAGGGCCTTGGGTGGGTGCGTGGTCCTGCTGTGAAGGTTCTGGGATGCTCCTGTGTGCGTGGCTGTGGGTGTGCTTAGATTCCCCCTGTCAGATGAACCTGGTGGCGGGGTGTTTCTATGACGGGATGCTGCTGTACGCCATGGTGCTGAATGAGACTCTGCGCGAGGGCGGCTCCAAGAAAAACGCCACCCACATCATCGAGAAGATGCGGGACCGCAAGTTCCAGGGTAACGCTGGGATGGGGAGAGCTGGGTTGTGGGTGCTGTGGGGGCGGTGGAACTCAGTCCCCATCCCACCTGCATCTTAATTTTCCCACAGGTGTGACAGGGCTTGTGAGCATGGACAGCAACAATGACCGGGACACTGACTTCAACCTATGGGCCATGGGCGACCCCAAGACCGGGCAGTATGAGGTGCAGGCCAGCACCAGGTTCCCCCTGGCTGGGGTTAGGGGATGGGATAGTGGGGTCTGAGGGTGGCCTCATCTCTCTCTGCCTTAGGTGGTGGGACACTACTCGGGTGTGGAGAAGCAAATCCACTGGCTGGGACGACCCATCCCCTGGGTGAAGGGGGCTCCCCCCTTGGACAACCCTCCCTGTGTCTTTGATGTGGACGACCCCTCCTGTGATAAAAGTGGGTGTCCTGAGTCCCACATCCTTTGGACCCCAGCAAGCTTCCATATGGGTGCATGCCAGTCTGGCCGTCATAGCCAGTTGGGCCACCCTGACATATCCTCTCCTGCCTGCAGCTCCCCTCTCTATGCTGGCCATCGTGGCTTTGGGCACTGGCCTCACCTTTGTCATGTTTGGCATCTCCAGCTTCCTCATCTTCAGGTCAGTCAGGACTGGGGGAACCTCTGTCTGATGGGCGGGTAGGCAGGGCAGAAGGGATGGGGGCCTGACCCCTGTGTCCCCCAGGAAGCTGATGCTGGAGAAAGAGCTTGCCAGCATGCTCTGGAGGATCCGCTGGGATGAGCTGCAGTTTGGAAGTCCCGAGCGGTACCACAAGGCAGCGGGTAGCCGGCTCACCTTGTCCCTGGTGAGGGGAGCCATCCCTGAGGCACCACCTTGCCCCTGTTCTGGCCTCTCTCCCTGCATGACACCCCACCCTGTTGATCTCTTACAAGGCCCTCTGTTCCTGCAGAGCCATAGCCCCACTGTGTCTCTCAACACAGCCATTCATCCTTACATACCTCTCCATTCCTTATAGAGATTTATTCCATCCATCCCTGACATGACTTTCCATCCCCTTCAGAGCCGCTGTAGATCTATCCTCTGTAGAGCCATGAGTCCTCCATGTAGCATCATACTTCTTCAAGCCCCTATGTTGCCTTCCATCCCCTATACAGACATACCTTATCTGTGTCCTAAACTTGGTGCAGTGCATCATGCCTCATCTCAGAGTCTTCACCTTTCCTACAGAGCATGCAGAGCTTGTCCTGACCCTTAGAGCCCATCCTGCACCATCCCCTGCACACTTTGGATGGCCCTGCCCTGCTCCATTGGTGCAGGCCATCCCTCCACCCCAAGGTTCCTCTCCCTAATCCTCTCCTTCCTGCAGCGTGGCTCCAGCTATGGCTCCCTGATGACCACCCATGGCAAGTACCAGATCTTTGCCAACACCGGCCACTTCAAGGTTAGTGCAGCAGGCAGGCAGGGAGCTGAGTCCTCCGTCGGAAATGCCCTGGCTCTGCTCCCCCTTGGCTGCATCCTATCCTGCAGGATGTTGCCACTTTCCTCCCCTTCACAAGTTCATCCACTGGACATTGACCTTTTCCCCTTCCCAAACACCCCAGGGCAATGTTGTGGCCATTAAGCACATCAACAAGAAGCGCATCGAATTGACGCGGCAGGTGCTCTTCGAGCTAAAGCATGTAGGTTTGGGGTCTGGACTAGGGTGGGCAACCTGCTAAGGGGTGCAGGGAATGGTCCAGAGCATGTGGGAGGATAGCAGGAGTAGCAGCTCATGCCCTTAGACCTCAAGACTATCTTGGGTCCACTTCCACCTGCAGATGCGAGACATCCAGTTCAACCACCTGACCCGCTTCATTGGGGCATGCATCGACCCCCCCAACATCTGCATCATCACCGAGTACTGCCCACGGGGCAGCTTGCAGGTAGTGGGGCTTGGGGACACTGCGGGTGACACTTAGACATTCCCAGTGACACAGCTGGGCTGGGTATTGTGGACAGGGCTGTGGATGCTGATGGCCATCTGAGCCCTCCCTATAAGGCTCAGAGCTGAGCTGTCCAAGCAGGTGTCAGAGGTTAGTGAAGGGGTGGGGGAGGGTGTTGCAGACCCCCCCAGCTGGGCACTTGATGAGGCTGCCATCACCATGACCTGGGTGCTTGGTGGCGTCCACTCAATGTGCTATCCCAGGATGTCCTGGAGAATGAGAGCATCAACCTGGACTGGATGTTTCGCTACTCCCTCATCAATGACATTGTCAAGGTACCCAACTGAGGGGTGTGAGGGGATGGCGGGAGGTGCCTGAGAGACATGAGTTACACTGTGTCCATCTGTCCCAGGGAATGGCCTTCCTGCACAACAGCATCATTGGACATCATGGCAGCCTCAAGTCATCCAACTGTGTGGTGGACAGCCGCTTCGTGCTGAAGATCACCGACTATGGCCTGGCCAGCTTCCGCTCGCCCAGCGACAACGAGGACACACATGCACTCTATGCCAGTGAGTGCCTACCTGGGAGAACCAGGGAGATGGGGTGGCCTTGTCTCACTTCTCCATTGCTTTGTCCCACCAGAGAAGCTGTGGACAGCCCCAGAACTGCTGCAGAAGGGGCACCTGCCCACTCCGGGCATGCAGAAAGCTGATGTCTACAGCTTCGGCATCATTGTGCAGGAGGTTGCTTTGCGCAACGGCCCCTTCTACATCGAGGGCATGGACCTGAGCCCCAAAGGTGAGGATGGGGAGCATGTGCATGGAGGTCCTGCCCCACCATGGAGGTCTGATGTTCACTGTTGGCTGCACCCTGGCAGAGATCGTGCAGAAGGTGCGTAACAGCCAGAAGCCCTTCTTCCGCCCCTCCATTGACATCGGGGTGCACAGCGAGGAGCTGGCAGTGCTGATGGAACGCTGCTGGGCACAGGAGCCGGCCGAGCGCCCTGACTTCAGTCAGATCAAGATCTTCATCCGTAGATTCAACAAGTGGGTGGTTGGTGTGTGAGGATGGTGGCCCTGGGTGGGAGTGGGGACAGCCGTGGATGGAGGTGGTGCTTGGGGGGCACCTCTTCCCGCAGTGCCAACTGACTGCACCCTGGCAGGGAGGGAAGCACCAGCATCCTAGACAACCTGCTGTCACGCATGGAGCAGTATGCCAACAACCTGGAGAAGCTAGTGGAAGAGAGGACACAGGCCTACCTGGAGGAGAAGCGCAAGGCAGAGAACCTCCTCTACCAAATTCTGCCCCAGTGAGAGTGGGACACAAGGGGATGTGTGGGTCTGAGGGTTGGCATGGGTTCAGCATGCACCTGCTGCTGTGCAAGCATGGGGTCCCTTGCCAGCTTTCCATGCTGGTATGGGCCAAGGGTTGCAGGGGGAACAGCGGGCTTGGGGTGGAGCTCACCACTATCCTTGGCAGTTCTGTGGCAGAGCAGCTGAAACGTGGAGAGACAGTGCGGGCTGAGGCTTTTGACAGTGTCACCATCTACTTCAGTGACATCGTGGGCTTCACCGCCCTCTCGGCAGAGAGCACCCCCATGCAGGTGAGAGCAGGACTTGGGGGGCAGCACATCTCTGAGGCTGGTGAAGGTCTCACACCCTGGCAGTGCCATCCCTGGGGCTGGGGGGACATGTCCACTCCCAGATGCACACGCATCCTTGTTCCATTCAGGTCGTGATGCTGCTGAATGATCTCTATACTTGCTTTGATGCCATTATCGACAATTTTGATGTCTACAAGGTGAGTGGCGTGGTTAGCAAGCACAGCCCTCCGAAGTGAGGAAGGCAGCAAGGAGCCCAGGTTGTACCTGCCCCCACAGGTGGAGACCATTGGGGATGCCTACATGGTGGTCTCGGGGCTGCCAGTGCGCAATGGGAAGCTGCATGCCCGTGAGATTGTCCGCATGGCCTTGGCCCTGCTCGAGGCTGTCAAAACCTTCAAGATCCGTCACCGTCCCAACGACCAGCTCCACCTGCGCATCGGCATACACACCGGTGAGCCCCCGCACTAGCCAGCTGGGGGGTGCTCGCCCACCCACCCATCCGCCCTGCAGCATCCCCCAATGCCTCTGTGCCTGCAGGTCCCGTGTGTGCTGGAGTAGTGGGTCTGAAGATGCCGCGGTACTGCCTCTTTGGGGACACGGTGAACACCGCATCCCGCATGGAATCCAATGGCCAGGGTAAGCCATGGGGCTGGCAGCTGAGGTCCAGAGCCACAGGGTGTGTTCCATTCCTGTGGCACCCAGTCATGTCTTTTGCCCCTCTGTAATACTCAGCCCTGAAGATCCATGTGTCATCTGCCACCAAAGAAGTCCTGGATGAATTTGGCTGCTTTGAGCTGGAGCTGCGTGGGGATGTAGAAATGAAGGTGAGGTGATGCTGGTGGGGTACCAGCCCTCCCAACCACAGGGGAATGTGATGGGGAGGTGGGTTTTGCCTGGGACCCCTTGTTGCCCTCGATGCTGGGGATGACACCTAAGAAGCAGCTCCAGTGGTGGGCAGGGTCTAACTTGCTCACCTCTGCCTCCAGGGCAAGGGAAAGATGCGGACATACTGGCTGCTGGGTGAGAGGAAAGACCCTTAAGTCATTTGAGCCTAGTGGTTGTGGCAGAACCCCCAGCTCAACGGGGCCACCAGTGCTTTCTGGTGCCCCAAGATGCACCGGCACACCCCCCATCACTGCATCCACCTGCCTCTGCAGCCCCCCTGCTTCTGCAGGGCCTGGGCAAGGTGGGGCAGCGGCAACAGCACCATATCCCCCCCTCTATCAGCACCAGCAAAGCCCACCTTCCCCACAGCCTCTGCTGGAGTAGGATAACCAGCCCTGATCCAGCCCGAGGGACCCTGTATCCCCCCCCACCCTCTGAGGTCTGCCACCCCCACCCTCTCCCCTGTGGCTCAGCTGGCTCTGAGCTTCTCCGGGGCCTGGCTGCCCCGAAGGGCACTTTGCCGTCTCTTTTCAGTACCTGGCCCCCAGCAGAAGTTGTTACCCATGTCAGCCCCTCCCTGGGGTGGGGGGAAATGGGGATTCCTGCCAAGACTGACTCCTTGGCCAGGTCAGGCTTCAATGCCGCAACTCCCCCCCTCCCCAGTCTCCCCTTCCCCTGTATATAAACCCATCGGGTCATGTAAATACCCATCCCTCCTCCGGGTGTAAATATAGGACTCGCTGCAACTATTTTGTTGAAATACAAACTTCCCCAGATCCATCTGTCCTGTGGCCTCTACTTTGCTCTGCCCCAGCATGCCAAGTGGGGAGGGAGGCCAGGGGGACCCCATTATGGAACTCAGCCCGGGCTGGCGACAGCTGCCTAAAACATCCCAAGAGATCATATCCCGGGGGTCTGTCTGCGGTATAGGGCCGGGATGTGGGCATGGGGAGCCAGTGCTGGGCAGTCGCAGCAGCGGCTGTTGAGGGCTTGGGCGGTGCTGGGAAGGCAGGGCTGCCGTGAGTTTGCTTTGGCGTGAGGGCTGCAGTACGTTCCTCTGAGCTCATGCTCTGGCCACCCTGCTGCCGCCTCTTACTGGAACACACCTGTGCCTGGGGACTGGAACAAGGACTGCGTGTCACCCGCTTCATGTGCTGGGAGGGGACGAGTCCCAGGGGATGGGGCTGTGCCAGGGGCTCTCCCTTCATGCCTAAGGAGGAAATCTCGACACCACAGTGTTTTTTGAGTCAACAGTGACTTGCAACAGGCCTGAAGGTTTTCCCATTTTGCTTCATGGTCTCATGGGATTTGAGATCCCAGGGACACAGTGATCGCCTTCCAAATATCCAGCCTGAGGACAACCTTGGGGTGGGCAAGGATGCTGAGACCACCTGTGTCCCCTTTTATTTTATTGCTTGTGGGGCTGGAGCTGGCTGCTCAGGGGGTCGTAGGGGTCACAGAGGTTGAAGGGCTCAGGATGCCCTAAGTACAGGGTAATGGGAGTGGAGAAGGCTGCATTCCTCTTGAAGGGAATGTTTCTGCCGAAGAGGGCACCCTGGAGAGGAGAGAATTGGAGAGGTCTCTGTCAGCAGCTGAGACCTCCAGGGCGCTGGCAGGACAGGGTGGTGGGGGCCTTACCGGCAGTCCATGGGCTTGCTCCAGCCAGAAGCTGGTTGGCTCCTCCTTTAAGTAGTTGTGAGGCTGTAGTGGAAGCAAAATATGAGCCGGAGGTGATTACGTGCTCAGTAGGACATGGAAGCCCTGCAGACTCCCTGGAGTCTGCTGCAGGCTGGTGGGGGGGTGTCTGCTGCCTGTACCTGGGTGGTGGGCTGGGGTGTGGACTGGAAACCCATGGCACGGTAGTCGTTGTGCGTGGTGGAGATAGATTCCATGCGCCTCGGGCGGGGACGGATCTCCTCCTCCGTCTCCTTACTGCAGTCAAAGCAGATCCCGCACCTCTCAGCTCTGGGATCCCCGCCTCCCCAGGTCCCCTACTCTGGGCCATAGCCCCAAGGGTGGGTCTCATGCGGGAGTGAAGGCTTGCCTGTATTTCTCGTAGAGCATGGATGCCAGTGTGGCCTTCCGCTGCCCTGCAGAGAGGAAGGTGCCATCAGCCCCCCAGCTAAGATCGCCCTGCTGCCTTTTCAGGGTGCACATGGCTTCTTGGGGTCAGCCTCACCTTGCCCCAGCAGCAGGACCCTGGCAGGTGGGCAGTCCTTCGGGGAGGAGCTGTCAGTGACTGAGGAGAGAAACTGGTGGATCGGCAGACCATGGTAGCCAGGCTGTAAATCCTCACTGGCCAGATCCTTCCCTAGCCGAGAGTCCAGGGGGTCCACGATTATCTGGGGATGGACAGTGAGGACTGTGGAAGGGGGCAAGAGCCCATGCTGCACTTCCCCATGCCCTCTCCTGGCTTTTAGGCTTTCAGTGGCCCTAGAAGCATAAGCTGTAAAGAGGTGTTATGGCTTTTCTGGCCAGAAACATGGGAAAGCTGGAGAAGAGACACAGGTTGGGCAGGGCTGATTTGTCCTGCCTGGTAGAGGTCAGCCAGCCTTGTATGGCTGTCCCAAGCACCTGGGTGCCCAGACTGCGTCTGGGCAAGCGCTCTTACAGCACTTCAACAAACCATGGAGTCTCCAGGCTGTGGCACAGCTTGGTCCATCAGGTGCCCCCAGTTTGCCCGAGCAGGCATCCCCACATCACTGTGATGGGCTGTGACATACTGCTCCTGCTCCTCAGCAGTGAGATCCCAGCTCCCCTCCTGCCTTACTGTTACTCCTCACGTGCCTGCCTTGTGCCTTTTGTGCTATTGAGTTTCATCCCTTTTCTATCCTGCTGGGCTCAAGGTCATCCGGGTGGCTATTTAAAGAGAGAGGTCTGCACAGGAGCATAGAGCTTCACAAGATCAGCATGTGGGACACGATGGGGCCAACTTTGAGGGACATTTTCCCTTATGGAGTTACCTCCTTCTGCCAGTGCTGGTTCACACGGCTCCGATGGGGCACCGACTGGCTGGGCTTCTCTGCTGGTGTGGGTGGAGTGGGGGGTAGCGCCGGGAGTGCAGTGGGGGAATCTTTCTCGGGACTAGTTCCCCACTTTCCAAGCCAGGGAGGCAGCTTGATCCTAGAGGGATCCTTCCCAGTCTCTGGGGATGGCTTCCTGCTGGGCACGACTGGTAGGGCCACAGTAGGCAGCTCATCTGTGTCTATCTCCTGGGGCGGCTTGGCTATGTCTGACATCTCCTGGAGCCTCTTGGTGGTGGTTGACAGTGTCTCACCGCGGCACGGGAACCTCACCAAGGCGAGCTCAGGCAGGGGCTCGTCACCCTGGACCCTGCACTGTGGCCTCTCCCCATGGCATCTGGGACGCACATGGCTTGTCAGAGCGCCCCTGCAGTTGGGAACAGACCCTGAACAAAAGTAGCGGGGCGCATCCCTCATTGCCAACCACGTCCCCAGCCCCCACCAGCACAGGCAGCGTCCTGACCCCAGGTCCTCTGCAGCGTCACCTCCACACTGGGGCAAGGGACAAGGGAGGGATTCCTCTCCTGGGGGACAGAAGCAGTGCCTGCTGCTGGGTCTGTCGTCTCGAGAGATCTCCCGTCCGTAACTCCCTTCTGTCCCCTTGACCTCCTGCAACAACACGTTTCCCATCCCCCTTCCGGGGCTCAGGCCCCTCCCTGCTGCGACCTCCTCATAGGTCAGACACACCATCTCCTCATTCCTCCCTGGCCCCTAGCGCTCCACAGGCCCTGCCCTCCGGCTCTCCCCACCGGGGGTTACCCCAAGGGGTCTCGCTGCCCGTGGCCTGGGCCGCAGCCCCCGGCGCAGCCGGCTCCCCGCTCCATAGCGCGTGCGCACGGCAGGACGCTCCTCTCGCCATGGAGACGGTGCGCGGCGGCCGCGCGCCCAGGGGTGGAGCCGCGCGCGTACGCGCTTCCCATTGGCGGAGAGACCCGGAGGGGGCGGGGCAGTGTCCCGAACTGGGCGGGGCAAAAGGCAGAGTTAAAAGGGCGACGGGTGTGGTCTCGGTGGAGTGGGCGGGGCAGGGGCGTGATCGGCGTGAGGGCGGGGGTGCAGTGAAGGAGGACGGGGCTGTGTGAGGGACTGGGTTGTGTGGGGGAGTGGGCACGGGACACGGGGGACGGAGGGACGTGGCTATGTGAGGGATTGGGCTGTGTGGGGAACTGGGCACAGGGACACGGAGGGACGGGGCTGTGGAAAGATGGGAATGCAGGGGATGGGGGCGCGGGGCTGCAGGGACACAGGGGTGCCCGCGCTGCACTACAGGATCAGGGCTGTCCCCACCTTTGGGTTTATGTCCCCCGAGCCATCTTGTCGCACTGCCCGGGGTCCAGCGCTTAGGGCAAAGCTAGCCGCAGGGACTCCCGAGGGTGTACCGTGCCTGGGCAGGGCCAGTGCAGCCCCACTGGGGCAGCAGGAAGGACGTGCCCAGGGCTCCTGAGGAGACACTGCTCCCCACGGCTTGACCCAAGTGACCCCCATACTGCTTGGGCCTGGCACTGGAATAAGCCCACTTGCCCCAGGGACCCCCCAGCTGGCCTAAGGTGATGGGGCAGGATGTGCCCGGCGCCTGGCTGGGTGCAGCCGGTGCCCGCCGGTGTGGAGCAGCTGCCTTCTCTCACCACCAGCCCTCGATGGGCCCCTGGCCCCATCCCCGCAGAGGCCAAGCAGAAGAAGGGCCCTTTGATAGCAGGCGGCAGGCTCGGGAGCTAGGGCTGTTATTCCAGTGCTCTGCGGTGTGCACCGATGGGGCACCGTGCGCTCCACGCTGGGGCCTCTGTTTTTCCTGGCTGGGGATGTGCTCGGCCCTTCTGGCCTCGGCGGGCCGGGGGGGCCCCCACTGGGGACCGCTCCTCCCTGCGGGCCCTCGGCCCCGTGCCAAGCAGGGGCTCCTCCAAGACCATCTGCGGCACAGCTGTGGGGAGGAGGAAGAGATGGGAGACGTGTCCCGAGCTCATCTCATGGCTCCCCCATGTTGGGGCCACATCAGCCCTGCTGCCGCTGGGAGTGGGGATTGAGATGCCAGGGTGCCCCCAGGACTAGCAGCTCATTTTGAGGGTTATGGGTTGCACATTGCTGGTCATGCCCCTACACTCTGCTATGGACCCTGTGGTGGTCCCTGAGGTGCACCTGTGTGTACCCCAGCTCATGCTGAATGTATGGCCGCTTGGGGATCCTGCCCCAGCTTGCATCCCTTGGTGGTCTTCCTAAGAGCGTCCCCAGGTTCCCCACCAAACACCCATGGGCTTACCAAAAGCCTGGCTAGGCAGCATGGGTGCCTGAAGGATACTGAAGGGACACTAACAGCACCAAAGTACACTGTGGGACAGGGAGCTTGGTGATGCCACCCCAGGTATGCTCACTCACTGTGGGGCAACCACCCTGGGGTGGTCTATGGGGCATCACACTGGGGCTGTGCTCTGGCAGCATCAGCCCGGGGCAGCAGCCCTGGAGCTGCTGTAGCACATCTGGCTGCCTCTCGCCAGCTGACACATCCCTCGCAGCCCCCCCGCGCCCGGCTCTTTTGGGAACTTGCGTCATTTGTGATCCTCTCTGTCTGAGGAACCAAAACAGCCGTTGGCTCCCGTTCCACCCCCCCCCCCCCCCCGCCTCGGCCCCATGAGGCTGTGCCCACTGTCCTGCCCTGCCGCTCCTCGGGGACTGACAAAATAAACTTGGCACAGGAAGAAACACAATGGCAGGCGACTGGCCCTGACCTCGCGTGCCAGCCCGTCCCCTGTGCCTAGTACAGCACTC